TTCATATTGTTGTTAACACTCTATTTTTAATTTCAAATGACACTTAAGTAGAGTTTATGAATTACTTTTTGTCGTAAATAGGGGTGGCACTTTAAGTTTAAAGTAAAACACTTTTAAAAAGTTAAAGTGCTTGTGCCATGGGTAAGAAGCGACCATGCCCAGTTCTTGGGTCCTCGTCTAACTACCCTAGCAGGGGTACTTGGGTTCTCATATGGCTACCCTAGCGCGGGTACTGGGGTCCTCATATGGCTATCATAGGAGGGGTACTTGAGTCTCTATATGGCTATCCTATGAGAGGTACTTGGATCCTCATATAACTATCCTAGTGGGGATACTTGGGTCCTCAAGTGCAATACTATGTAGGTACCTTTAGGTCCCCAGGAGCTATACTATAGGGATACCCTTTGATTCTCAAGTGCTATACTGTAGGGGTATCCTTAGATCCTCAAGGCCTGTACTACAAAGATACCCTTGAGTTCTCAAGGGCTGTACTATGAAGGCATCCTTAGGTTCTCAAGTGCTATAATATAAAAGTACCCTTAGGTCTTTAAGGCCTATACCATAGCCTACGGTATAGGCTCTGAGGACCTAACGGTACTCTCACAGTATAAGGCCTTGAGGACCTAAGGGTTTTCCTATTGTATAGCTCTTGAAGGCCTAAAGTACCCCTTTAGTACAGGCCTTGAGACCTAAGGTTATCCTTATAGTGTAGCACTTGAGAACCTAAGGATACCCTTATAGTAGAGGCCTTGAAAACCTAAGGGTACCTCCAGAGTATAGCTGTTGAGGACCCAAGTATCCTCACTAGGATAGCCATATAAGGACTCAAGTACCCCTCCTATGATAGCCATATGAGGACCCGAGTATCCCCCACCCCTAGGATAGCTAGACGAGAATCCAAGAACTGGCCATGGTCGTTTCTTACCTATGGCAAAAGCACTTTCACTTTAACTTTTTCTTAAAGTTAAAGTTTTAAAGTGTTTTACTTTGACTTTAAGTTTAAAGTTTAAAGTACCACTTTAACTTTAACTTTTAAAGTAAAGGTAAAATGTCACCCCTATTTACGACAAAAAGTAATTCATAAACTCTACTTAAGTGTCATTTGAAATTAAAAATAGAGTGTTAACAACAATATGAAAGAACAAGTAGAGTATTAAAGATTGTTTTTTCTTTATAAACATAAAAATTGAATTTTACATTACAAAAAAAAATGGGCTTGTAAAAGGTGTCGTTGTTAAATGCCAAGTCATCCATTGTATTTACTCAGTACTATACTTAAAGCACGTTTATAGTAAGATTCACCTATATATATCCCCTCAGTCTAGGATCTAGTAAAGCAGTTCTCGATTAAAAATTGTATAGCACCATATTCGCTGAATTTCTTCGAAAGCAATACTTTCTATGCAATGCTTTACGTATTATAGGAAGAGAAAAAGCTACCACAGCAACTACAACTACGGGTACCACATCAACTTCAGCAACGGACACCACGACTACCACAGCAACAACAACCACTACTACTACGGAAACAACAGCTACCACTACCACGGAAACGACAACTACCACTACCACGGAAACGACAGCTACCACTACCACGGCGACAACAACTACTACGACCACGCAAACGACAACAACCACTACGACAGAAACGACAACAACCACTACGACAGAAACGACAACAACCACCACGACAGAAACGACAACTACTACTACCACAGAAACGACAACTACCACAACCACGGAAACAACAACAACAGCGACAACTACGACTACCACGACCGCTACAACTACAACTAGCACAACAGCGACGACTACGACTACCACGACCGCTACAACTACAACTAGCACAACAGCGACGACTACGACTACCACGACCGCTACAACTACAACTAGCACGACAGCGACAACTACGACTACCACGACCGCCACAACTACAACTAGCACGACAAGTAAAACTACGACTACCACAACGAGAACTACGACCACTAGCGTCACAACAACTACAAGTAAGTATATTTCTGAATACTTGACTTTGTAATTTGTAATCCAAAATCTAATTAAGAAGCACGTAACTTTTAGCATCAGCCCCATGTCTTACTGGATATGTTCGAGCACCATCTGGCTCATGTGTCAATCTTCTGATCGATTTCAATAACTGTGGTTCAATTGGTCATGTATGTGCTTCAACATATACAAGCTGTTCAAATGGTGCTTGTAGTGGTGCACCTGCTGTGCAACTTACAGGTGCTGTCACTATATCCGGTTGGGGTGGTACAGTTAACGTTGATGATGCATATGTAACTCTCAGTCTACCTTTCAGCATATCGCTATACGGTTATGTTACATCGAGTGCATCTGTTCAGAGTAATGGAGTAAGTGCTCTTGTGATTGATCTTTTCAAAGCATTTCCATTTATGGTCATGCAATAATTGAGTATAAATGAAACTAAAACAAATATGATTAAATTATCAATTGATTCATACCAGCGTTCCGCGTGGAATGGGATGGAACGCATAATTTTCCATCTCATCCCATGCATTCCATGAGACTTCACGCACGTCATATATTTTAAAAAGCTTTCTGAACACATCTATTATTTTCATTAATAATGGATGGATCGAAAGTTTTGAGACATAATGCCCCTGCATTTTTTGGTTGACTAAGAACACAAGTAGAAATGTTAAGATCCTTCTTCAAGAAAGTCGCCTTTCATCAAAATGATCGAAACTAAGATAAATGCAGAGGAAGACAGCCTGTGATCTGATTTCTGATAAATGACAAAAATTTTCACTCGGCTTCTCCATTTTTTCTAAAACTTTTTAAAGATTTTCGTCATCCCCTATTCGAAAAAAAATCTGTTTCAAAAAAGACCGAAAATCTTTTTTGTTTGTTCACAGTCTATAGGCTTTCGATCGCGCAACCTAGAATTCTCGAAAGAGTTTCATTATAGTCAACAGCATTTTTTTTTTGTGTTTGAAAGAGCATATCAAAACACAGGGCATGATATAGCCGTTTTTTTCGAATTAAGCTTTGTTACTACTAT